CACAGCACCCTGTTAAACTCCTTTCTAAGCTAATCATGCTGGGGCCAATGGGATACTCATGCTATCAGCAATGGCTTTCTGCAGTTTTCTGTCCTCTGGGTGGCAGAAACAATTTCCTGACCACGGTGATCCTGAAAGCTAGTTGTAAACCCTGAGCTATAGTCATCCATATTCTTTCTCACTTCCAGGAATGATGATGCCCAGAGCACCTTGGAAGCCATTTTGAAGAGGGCAGAGATGACAACAGGCTGGGTCTACATGAAGGGGCACTGCCTGTCAATATGGAATACCCACGGTTGATTCTTGTGTGAGCAAGAAAGAAATTGTATCTGAGCCATTAAATTTTGGGTCTAATCAGTAATTTGACCTAACCATAGTAGTACAAAAGTTGTAGTATGCATCTAGCTACTGGTAATTCCTAGAGTTTGTGGGCAGGCAACTGGGCTTACAAATGGTGTCTGAGCATCTGAGAGGTTGCTGTAGTTACATTTTCCCCAGGATGGTAGCTGCATGGGCAGGCAGATTTCTGAAGGGAACCATTTTGACCTTTCTCCTAGGCTCAGTACAGTTGGATCCTCCCGGGCAGCTAAATCATGTGTTCAGTACAGCATGGCGGGCAAGAAGACCTGGAATGAGGATCACCTTGTTTTTTTCCTGCAAAGTCATGAATAATGTGACATTGAACAATGCCCATTCCTTTACTACTGTTCTCCCCAGAAACCCTCATGCAATGGAGGAAGGAACAGGGGAGGGAGGAACATTGGCTGAGAAGTCAAGTGGAATGGGTCCTAGTTCCAGTCTGTTAATGACTCCCTGAAGTTTTTTTCCCTCCTTGGGCCTCAGACTCTTCACCCCAGAAGGGAATTGTTAAGGGGTCTCAGAAGTGAGACTCAGAGAACACACCTGCTGTGTCTTTGTGTGTGTGTGTGTGTGTGTGTGTGTGTGTGTGTGTGTGTAGGTAGATATGCGTTTAAGGAAATTCTCCTGCTTGGAAGCCACAGCTGCTAAACCAGAGGGTTGCTCAAATCTTCTTTTGACTGAAAGCATAGTCTGAGGACCGGCAGTAATAGCATTGTCTGGGAGCTTGTTAGAAATGCAGAATTTCAGGCCCTTTACAGAAGTATTGAATCAGAATCTCCAATTTAACAAGATCCTTAAGGGGATCCCAATGTGCATTCAAGTCTGAGATGCACTGCTCCAGAGGACCTGGGATAAGACAAATGTCAGCCTGAAAAAAGAATGAGATTTGAAGTCAGGAGACCTAGGTGTTAGTTTTAATTGTGCCACTCACTGGTTGTCCAAATTGGGCAAGTCATGTAATCACCCTGATCCTTTTTTTGTAAATAGGGTGCTCTAATAACTACAGAATGGTGTCAAGATCAATGGTGTATGTTCTGGAGCCAAACTATCTAACCTTAAATCCTGAGTTCATTTGTCAGCTATGAAGCTTTTGGCGAGTTGCCTGATATCTGTGGGCTTCAGTCTCTTTATCTGTAGACAGGGTATCATAATAATGACAGACGTTGAGAATTTTTAAATGGGCTGGGTGCGGTGGTTCATGCCTGTAATCCCAGCACTTCGGGAAACTGAGGCGGGCTGATCACCTGAGGTCAGGAGTTCAAGACCAGCCTGGCCAACATGGCGAAACCCCGTCTCTACTAAAAATACAAAAATTAGCTGGGCACGGTGGCATGCGCCTGTAATCCCAGCTACTCGGGAGGCTGAGGCAGGAGAATCGCTTGAATCCAGGAGGTGGAGGTTGCAGTGAGCCGAGATCACGCCACTGCACTTCAGCCTGGGTGACAGAGTGAAACTCTGTATTTTAAAAAAAAAAAGATTTTAAAATGAAGTAATTAATGTAAATCACATAGCACAAGGCCTGGCATCATCTAAATTCACTGTACATCTTATTATACTCTGACTTCCTGTACTATCTTTCAAGAACAGAAAGAGACCTCTAAAATAGAGCCACCTGGAGGCTAGCTGAAGACTCCTACCTTTGGTGTTTATCATAGTATACATAATTCTCAACAATGGGCACAGTCACTCAAAGACTGGAGCTCTAACCTCTGAACCACCAGACAGGCATGAGATTGGTTTCATGATATTATCTTAGGCAATCAATCAGTTCCCCTGCATGTATTCCCCATTCCTTTGTTGTCTATTCCAGTTACACTCAACTCTAGATACTCCCTTCCCTGTGAAAATCTACAGAGCAGCCATATACAGAGCAGTGCCATCCAGGTAGGAGATGACCACTTGTAACTGGCTTTCCTTTCCCTACAGGAACTCACACAGTTCAAAAAATGGAATGTCATCAAGGCATTGCCTGGTGGGCCTGTCGCCACACTTACTGGAGGGAAAGGATCTAGGATGAGGGAGGTTCCAGGGACCATCAGCAACATGCCAAACCACAGCAAGAAATCAAGCATGACTCAGCTCCTGCTCACTGCAATTACTCAGGACCTCGCCCTTCAGATGTGGAAAAAGCCCAGCAGTGCCTTGCAGTAACTGCTGCTGAGGTCTGGAACTTCCTGACAACCTTGCAAGTCCTTTGATAAGGGGAGGCTCAAGCTGGATTTCAGAAGGCCCACTGCACCAGGATGACTGAAACAAACTGTGGACTGGGTATCAATGCAAATAATATTGTAGCATCAGGAATAAAATAAATTTCAACTCAATAAGAAGCCTCTGCAGGTGGATACAAGTGGTGATCCTGGGCAAAGTTGGTGTCAGGCACAGGCACACCTGTGCAAGGAAATGGAAAAAGGGAAGTCCACAGTATGGAAAAGTCTAAAAGGGGCACCAGCATGTTTCATAGTGTGGGAGAGAGGAAAATGAAAACACCACTTACCAGGTGCCTGCCAAGGGCTATTCCTGGGCCTGCAGCTCTAGAGATGTTCCTCTGAACAAAACAGGAGCCATCTAGGACAGGTGGTGCTTGGCTATGACAACGAGGAGGGAACTTAAGTCCAACGGGTCAATAAGTGATGGATTTGAGTCTTCTCTTCTAATGGATTAGTAGATCCCAACAGTCAATACGGTGGGGGTTGGAAAAACTTTCCTGTGTTTCATGATACCCAAATGCCAGTGTCATGAATGGCAAATGCTAGCATCCCAATAACGGTGTGCCCTTCATGAAACCCCACCCAAAGATTCAGCCCCTTCTCCTAATGTTCAAGCACCTGTTCCTGCAGAATCAGGATATGAAGAGAGGCTGGCAAAGGCCACAAACCAGGTACTTCTGCAGCTTGCGGGAGGGCGGAGGTTGGGGCGGTTTCTATGCTGTCCACAGGACACTGTCACACTAACTCTATTAATCCTTTCCTACCTAGAGATAATGATATGAGAAAAGAAAGTTATCAGTTCACCTCTCCTCTAGAAATAAATAGGGTGGTATCTCTGAACCTGGCCATCGTTAATAGATGCAAATAAAATACAGAGTGGGCAATAATGCAATGCACATATGCCCAAGACAAAACAGGCTGGCACAAATAAGGAAAGGGGCTTCATTTCTGAAAATACCAGCTCCACTTAATACTGGATACTCTCCTGCCTATGGAAATCCACAAGAGCAGTTGCAGAGAGCACAGCATGTTTCATAGTGTCAGGAGAGGACAGTGAAAACTGACATTTACCAGGTGCCTGCCATGGGCTATTCCTGGGCTTGAGGCTCTAAAGAGGTTCCTTTGAACAATAACAGCAGCCATCTAGGATAGGTGGTCCTCAGCTGTGGGAGAAAAGGGGGAAATGAGGCCCAAGAAGCTAGTAAGTGGTGGATTCCAGTCTTCTCTTCCAATGGATTATTAGACACCAATGTCCCAAGCAGGGTGTTTCTTAATTTTTGAATACTAACATCATGAATAGCAAATGCTGGCATGGCAATAAAAGCGTGCCCTGCATCTGGTCACATCTAAAACATCAGTCCCTTCTCTTTCTGAAGAAATACCTGTTCCTGCAGAATCAGGATATGGAGAGATGCTGGTCAGGGCCACAGACCAGGTGCTTTTGCAGTTTGCAGTTTATTGTCCTCAGGACACTGTCATACTATTAGCCCTTTCCTGCCTAGTGATAGTGATGTCTCAAAAGAATGTTATCAGTTCACCTCTCCTCTAAAAACAAATAGGTTGGTATCTCTAAACCTGGCCATCAGCAACACATACACATGAAATTCTGAATGAGCAATAATTCACTGCTCACATGCCCAAGGGAAAACAGGTTCTTTTCCTAGGACTTGTACAGGAGGCTTAGACAAGGTGACTTCCCAGGGGATGGCTGTACTGAGTTTGCAAATTTGGGCTGAGACTCATTCAAACTACCTGGGGAATGCAAGTTAACCTGCAGAGGAGAAAGAGAAAAAGGAGAAAGACCCATGTTTAAATGGAAATTAAATACATATCTGATGGATTCCATGATCAGCTTTGACACTTTCATCTATAAACAGTGTCTGGAACCAGTTGGCTCCAGCACAGAAGGGACTGCTTTGTACCTGGTGGAGACCCTGCCACACCTGACCCAAGGAAGCCTGCTTGGTGACCAGGCAGCCACAGAAGGATGAAGATCACACTTGGTCTGTTTCCCCCAGGCCCAGACAGGAAACAGAAAACTTTCCTCAAGGCTACTACAGGCCTTTTTAGGGGACCATGTTGCCACTGGCTGGCAATCTCAGAGAAAACACCTCTCTGCTTTTTACAGTGCGTTTTCAAAAAAGTAAAATCTAGATTCTCCCAGGGGTCTAGGATCTCAGGAATTGGAGCCCCTCTACTGAGTAGAGAAAAATCAGAATGAGGGTTTCTTTCCTCATTTCAAGAGATTGCTGGCTCTGCAGCCCAGCTCAAAAGCCCATCCTCCAGGCCACTTCCCCGCCTGAGCCAGACCCCTTGCTCTCATGACTCTCTGAGAGCCAGCCCCATGGTCGGGTTCCCTGAGACCCGCCTGGACCTTAGACGGCCGCGCCTCCGAGCGCTATTGACGCCGGAGGCGCGACTCTTTTTCCTATTCCCAGGAGGGGAAAAAAGCGGGAACAATGGCTTTCGGGACAGAGGGACGCGAACACCCAATGCCGCAGCGACTGGCAGGGTCGCGATGCAGGAGGACGAAGTGGGAGAAGGGGCACTTCGGCCTCCCTGCGGGCGGGAGCTAGGCCGCTGGAAAGTCCGCTCGCCTCTCGCCCCAAGGGATGATCCCCTGGGCCTTTTGTACCACTCGCCACGGAAAATGGTCACAGGCTTTTCTCCCCAAACCGATCACTATTGGAAACACAGGGCCCCTGGAAGCCGCCACGTTGGCCATTGGCGGTGGCGCACCCACCCCCGTGCTACTGCGCGTGCGCAGCGCTGCGACACACTCCGACCCCATCCCGCGTTCCCAGGGGGCGGTGGGAAACGGAAGTGCTCGGCTGACTCGGGCGGGCGGTTCCTAGTTCGCAGTAGCTGTTGTCGTCGGTCTCTGAGGTTTCGGGCTCTTGGCGGTGAAGTAAGAGGGACGCGGAGGTGGTGATAGTTTTAATGGGGGACGGGGGTTGACGGGACCGTGGGGTCATGGGACGCCTTTGTGGGTGACAGGGTGGCTCTACAGCCTAGCTCAAAAGCCCACCCTCCAGGCCACTTCCCCGCCTGAGACAGACCCCTTGCTCTCAGGACCCTCTGAGCCAGGACCAGAGTCGGGTTCCCTGAGACCCGCAGGCCTGTGGGCGTGAGTGCTGGGGGCGAGGTTCGGGGCCAGCAAGTGACTGATTGATTGAGTCACTCGGCCCCTGTTTCCTGAGCTCCTAAAAATGCCAGGCAACCTTGCAAATGTTTCACATTAATCTTCACAGGAGCCCTGTGAGGTGTTACGATGATTATTTTCATGTTATAGAGAGAAAATGGCTCAGTGTGGCTTGGCAACCTGTCCAAAGTCACGTAGGTAGCAAACCCGAGGAATCCTTTTTCATTTCCTGTGCTTTGTTTGTCATGTTTATTGTTTCCTGTGTGTCTCCCTCGCTAGACTAGAAACTCTGCAGTAGCTGGGACTTTGAGATTTTGTTCACTGATGTATTTCCAGCACGGAGAACGGGCTCATGGAAGGCACTCATTTCTTCAGTGAATAAAAGTGGCACAGCAGTCAATCAGTTGGTTCCAAAGCCCGAACTCAGGAAAGCAGGGTTTTCGTCACTGGGGATAATTGAGCTGTGCATGAATGTTAATTCACTCTTAAAGCTAGAATGAGGCGTTGTCCCTCTTCTGTTGGGTAAAAACCTTTGGATTTTACTCAACTTCACTGCATGGAAGGGAGCATAGGTGTTGCTAATTGAATCTCCTGTGGTCATTGTGTTTCAAGGGTCAGAGTGCAGACCTGAGACCACTGCTACACCGACTTCAGACTCCAGTTTATCTGAGCCCCGGCTTCCTCACTTAGTCTCAGAAGACTTAGGCTGAGGCCCCAGGAGGAGGTGAGTTCCCTGGGTCACAGGCAGAGATCTGGTGCTATAGTGATGGCCCCAGCTGGGGTGTGTTTGTCTCTGAATCCCTTGGTCCTGCCGCCTTGGACATAAGAGAGGTACGCTGAGCTGAGGCGAGTTGGAGGAGAAGCCTCAGCCCAGAGTCCAGACCCAGATCCTCAGGGCAGAGAAAGGAGGTTCACAGGACAGCAGGTCCTAGAAGAGCTGGACCCGTAGTGACCTTTGTCCCTCACTTCAGCTGAGACAGAGCAAACTGGCTCAACTTCCAGGTGCCATCGAGGACCATGTGACAGTGCAGTTTGATTCCTACTGGAGGAGGGACAGGTGAAAGTCACAGGTGAATGGAGGCATGGGTGCCTTCCATGGGGCAGGTGCCCTCCTGTAGTGGCTGCAAAGGCGGGATGAGGCTGGGAAGGATCACAGCCAGCCACAGAGGATTGGCCTCTCCTAGCACACCTATTTGTGCACCCCCGTGCTTCCTTCTCTTGCCATTGGCTTTTTCTGAATTTGAGTCAGCCCCACATCATCAACCAGGCACCTGCTTCCAGGGGAAATGCGAGTGTCCCTTCATCCTGACCGAAGTGCAGAAAATATGTTTTTAGTTTGTAGAATTTCAGAGTAGTCTCTAGGTACGCTGTCATCCAGCTCTGCTGCCTTATTTCAATGTTTAATGAAAGTGGGCTGGGGGACATGACCTGCTAAGCTACACCAAGCTGAACCCTGTTACCTTGATACTGTCGCAGTGATTGCTGCAATATGCAATGGTTGCTCTGCACAGAAGCTCCTTGCTGGAACTTTCTTTTGAAAAACTGCCAAAGAAGGAGGAGCCTGGTAATCAAAATGCAAATCGTGAGAAAGGAGGAAGTGGTGGGGTGGGAACAGGGTAGGTGGCCAGTTAAAGAGGCAGATGCAGGGGAGCAGGCACAGTGGTTTTCAACCCCTCACAGAACTGACAGTGCTGGGCTGTTACCCACCCAGCCCCACACCTCTCCTCCCCTGCAGCCCTCTGAGCCCTTGTTGGCCTCCTTCCTCCAAACCACATCAAGAGATCCTACTCATACACACTTGCAGAGGGTCTTTTCACCTCTAGGGCTCTGTTTGATAAGAGGTAATTTTTAATAATTTTTAATTTTTGTTTTACTAGTGATATTCTTTATCAAAAATTGAGAAAATGCAAATAAAAGAAGAAAATTGAAATCACCACTCAATAGTAACCAACATCAGCATTTTAATAAATCCTCTGAGATGTCATATATGTGCATATTGATTATCAAAAATGAGATCACATGCGCTTGCTTTCTTGGAAGCTGCTTTTAAACACATTAGGAACTAAAAACAAATTCCATAGCATTTTGAAAGCCTGTTCAGTATACCTGCTTTTGCATGTGTCATATTTTTTAACTGTGTCCTCTTTGCTGGACATTTAGTTGCTTCCAATTTTTTTGTTTGTTTATTTGTTTTTTGTTTAGACAGAGATTCCCTCTGTCGCCCAGGCTGGAGTGCAGTGGTGCCATCTTGGTTCACTGCAACCTCCACTTCCTGGGCTCAGGTGATCCTCCCACCCAGCCTTCAGAGTAGCAGGGACTACAGGTATGTGCTACCATGTCTGGCTAATTTTTGTAGAGATGTGGTTTCGCCATGTTGCCCAGGCTGGTCTCGAACTCCTGGGCTCCAGTGATCCGCTCACATTGGCCTCCCAGAGTGCTGGGATTATAAGCATGAGCCTTTGCACCTGGCTGCTTCCACATATTAGTATTTTAATGGTAGAAATTACTACAGTTAACATTCTTTCAGCTTTTCCACATATAGAATTGTTTCATTATGACAAATGTCTAGGAATAGAACTCTTTTTTTTTTTTTTTTTTTTGAGGCGGAGTCTCGCTCTGTCCCCCTGGCTGGAGTGCAGTGGCGCGATCTCGGCTCCCTTCAAGCTCCGCCTCCCAGGTTCCCGCCATTCTCCTGCCTCAGCCTCCCAAGTTGCTGGGACTACAGGCACCCGCCACCGCGCCTGGCTAATTTTTTGTATTTTTAGTAGAGACAGGGTTTCACCGTGGTCTCGATCTCCTGACCTTGTGATCCACCCGCCTCGGCCTCCCAAAGTGCTGGGATTACAGGCGTGAGCCACCGCGCCCGGCAATAGAACTCTTAAGATAAAGGAGATGTTAATTGTAACTGGTTTCTAAAGTAGGTATCTTTAGACACAAGTCATACATCTGTCCAGTAAGGGAAACAAAATTTCATTTGCCAAACCTACATGATTTTAGTAGAGTTTCATGGAAACAGCTGGAGCTACCAGGTCATGTTTTTAGATCATTCTTCCCAGGGTACAAGGGTAATTATTATCAGGATGGTAATGGTGGTCTAATGGCTGTACCTACCGAGTGTACTCTCCTAATTTTGCCTTTATAGATCTCCATCCTTTGTCCAGAGCAGAACAGGATGGCCATGTCCCAGGTGAGTTCCTAATTTACCCATACTTTGTTTCCAGTGAAATTGGGGCAAGGTTTGGAATCTATATAGTAGACTTGAAAATACCAATTATCCCCTCTTCTCTGGCTGTTTTCTATTCAACTTGTTCTCAGCCTCTGGTTTCTCTAATCCTTCCCCTCACCAGGAGAGAGGAAAGACAAAAAGATTCCTCTCTGTACTTCTTGTTCTTTTTGTTTTCTTGTTCTTTTTTTCTTTCTCTTTTTTTTTTTTTTTTTTTTTTTTTGGAGACAGAGGCTCACTCTATCACCCAGGCTGGAGTGCAGTGGCACAATCTCAGCTTGCTGCAACCTCCACCTTCTGGGTTCAGGTGATTCTCCTGCCTCAGCCTTCCGAGTAGCTGGGATTACAGGTGCCCACCACCACGCCTGGCTAATTTTTGTATTTTTAGTAGAGACGGGGTTTCAACATGTTGGCCAGGCTGGTTTTGAACTCCTGACCTCAAGTGATTCCCCCACCTCGGCCTCCAAAGTGCTGGGATTACAGGCGTGAGCAACCATGCTCTCTACTTGTTCTTCTGAGAACTGTACCTCATCTTCTCTTCATTTCCTTCTCACAGAAGATTGTTTAAATACATAGGTTCATCTTGCTTTTTCCTCTTTCTTCATTTCTAGATCACTTGGTCTTTTCATCATTCATATTTATGATAATAACTTTGTGCATAATGTTTTGATGTGCATAGAAAAAACTAGTAGCCCAAAGGATTCTATCTTTCTCCACCCAGTACCATGTTCCTCGTCAGAGAAGCCCATTGTTAACGGTTGGGTTAAATGGTGGGGTAGATGCATTTATATCAGTTTAAGGAACTAAAAACATATGCATATGTATTGTTTTTATGCTTTTACACAAATGGCATCATACTCCCATACCTATCTTTTGCACCTGATTACTTTCTGGGTGGTGTTCCTTGTCGATATATAAAGATTGTTTCAATTTCTATTTCATAGTATGGATGTATTAATATCGTGTAACTTTATTTATGGATATTTAAGTTTTTAATTTCTTTTTACTATTGTAAACAGTGCCTCATGAACAACTTTCTCTGTATCTGCTTGCTCTGTAGTACCAGTGTTTATGGAGGTTATACCTGGTAGTCGAGTTTTGACTAAAAGGTACTGAGACTTAAATTTGCCCTCCGAAATCCTTCATAATTACTCCTTTCACTAAATGTAAAGACCAGATAATTTCTGTGTTCCAATTTTCCAGGCTATTAAAGATGAAAAGTCACCCGGTTCATTTTGTGAAGCCACTTAACCTGAAATTTGAGGAAGGTACTACAAAAAAGAAAATCATAGACCAGTTTCCCTTAAGAATATAAATGTCAAAATATGAAAAATATTCTGAATAGAACATTAACAAATTGCATTGGGCATTTCAAAAGCAATGGATGCATGTGGTAAAAAAGTTCAAACAAAAGCTTTGTTCAACAACAAAACGTTTTTTGTGGTTTTTGTTTTTTGAACAGGGTCTGGCTCTATCCCCCAGGCTGAAGTGCAGTGGTGCAATTTCAGCTCACTGCAACCTCCGCCTCCCAGACTCAACAATCCTCCCACCTCAGCCTCCCAAGTAGCTGGGACTACAGACACATGCCACCATGCCCAGCCAATTTTTGTATTTTTTGTAGAGATGGAGTTTTGCCATGTTGCCCAGGCTGGTCTTGAACTCATGAATCTCTTTCTCTGCTTACGCACAATCACTTGTTCTCTCCTGCATGTGCTCTCTCTCTCTTTCTCTTTCTCTCTTTAACAAGTTACAGTACATCCTGGTCTTTCTGGTCCTTTTTGTTTTTTTTAATGATCTTTTCATTTGTGTTAACTCTACACCAGGGTTTCTCAGTGTGGCACTATTGACATTTTGGTTGAGGTCATTATTTGTCATGGGTTGCCTTCCTGTGCGTTGTATATGTAGCAGCATCCCTGGACGCTCTACTAGATGCCAGTAGCGCTCCCTCCTCCAGTGTTGGCAACCAAAATATCTCTTGTCATTGTCAAGTATTCCCTGAGGAATAAAATTATCCAGTGTTTAAAACCAGTGGCCTACCCCATTTACAAAAATGGCTGCTTGATACTTCATTTGATGGTAATACCACCATTACCTTTCTCCTAATAATAGATATTTAGGATATTCCTAGTCTTTTGCTACCATAAACAACATAGCAATGTATAGTAGATTCCCATTGTGTGCATGTGAGAACATTTATAGGATAACTTTCTAGATACGCAGTTTCTAGGTCAAAGTTTATGCATCTTGAATTTTGATTCAGAACTGTCAATTGCCTTCCAAATAGAATGTACTGATTTGCATTGCTGGCAACATTATAATGCCTTTTCCTATAAATGGGAAATCACAGTGTATTATCTGCTATGATTTTTGCCATTGTGAGGGACAAAAGAGTAGTGCATTTTAATTCGCTTTTCTTGATTTGAGTGTCTTTTTTCATTTTTAACCACCATTTGTACTTTTTTCTTTCAAATATGTATTCTAGTCATTTGCCCCCTTTTCTCTTGGGTGTGGAATTACTTTGATTGCTGGATGTTAGCTCCTTGGGTTAACTTAAGCAAATGAGATCTCTGTCATATATGTTGTCAATATTTTTCATAGTTTATTATTTGCTTTGATTTGTCTTATACCTCTTGGGGAGTGGACACAAGGTGTTTTTAATGTCTCATTTTACAATCTTTTGTGGCTTCTAGAGTTCTTGTATTGCTTATATAGGATTCCGTGAGTTGAAATTATAAAAATGGCATTTCAGTTATGTGGAAAAAATGGTGACTGAATGATGGTGGCACCGTTGAGTCTCCGTCTGGATGGAAAGAAAGTTAAACTCTTTTTTTTTTTTTTAATTATACTTTAAGTTCTAGGGTACATGTGCACAACATGCAGGCTTGTTACATATGTATACATGTGCCATGTTGGTGTGCTGCACCCATTAACTCGTCATTTACATTAGGTATATCTCCTAATGCTATCCCTCCCCGCCCCCTCCCCACAATAGGACCCGGTTCCTGTGTCCAAGTGATCTCATTGTTCAATTCCTACTATGAGTGAGAACATGCGGTGTTTGGTTTTCTGTTCTTGTGATAGTTTGCTGAGAATGATGGTTTCCAGCTGCATCCATGTCCCTACAAAGGACACAAACTCATCCTTTTTTACAGCTGCATAGTATTCCATGGTGTATATGTGCCACATTTTCTTAATTCAGTCTGTCACTGATGGACATTTGGGTTGATTCCAAGTCTTTGCTATTGTGAATAGTGCCGCAATAAACATACGTGTGCATGTGTCTTTATAGCAGCATGACTTATAATCCTTCGGGTATATCCCCAGTAATGGGATGGCTGGGTCAAATGGTATTTCTAGTTCTAGATCCTTGAGGAATCGCCACACTGTTTTCCACAATGGTTGAAGTAGTTTACACTCCCACCAACAGTGTAAAAGTGTTCCTATTTCTCCACATCCTCTCCAGCACCTGTTGTTTCCTGATTTTTTAATGATTACCATTCTAACTGGTGTGAGATGGTATCTCATTGTGGTTTTGATTTGCATTTCTCTGATGGCGAGTGATGATGAGCATTTTTTCATGTGTCTGTTGGCTGTATGAATGTCTTCTTTTGAGAAGTGTCTGTTCATATCCTTTGCCCAGAAAGTTAAACTCTTCTACATCATATAAAAGTGAATTCCAGATTGATCAAATACCTAAATATATATTTGAAAAATTAGGTGAAAATGTAAGAGGATATTGGCATAACCTTGCTTAGTGCAAGAAACTTTTTTTTTTAATGGTACAATGTTTTTCTTTTAATGATCATTGGGACATCTTAAAATTCACTACTAAGTATACACATAAATAAGGAAACATAAGAAATGTCATAACCCAAGTACTTTTGAAACTACTTCTTAGTTCCAAGCCCCAGCATGTATCAATTGTATGAATTCATTTTTTTTTATTCAGAACCTGGATCTTTGTTTTAAGACTAGTATAAACAAAAATAAAATATAAACAACTTGTTATTAACATAATAGCTGTAGTTATTATCTGCAAGAATACAGTAAAAAAGAGTCATACTAAATGTTAATGTTCTTGTAACACAATTATCCATATCACCTTATGGTAACAAATTCTGGCAAGGAATGATCATTCATTTCTTATTAAAAATACTTATTTCCAAGATTGATCAGTTATACCACAAATAAAACCACAGTTTATTTAATAGAGCCCTTACCTTTCTCTTTTTTTTTTCTGAAAGATCTGCCATTTACAGGGAACTACTAATTTCAGATCAGTTACTCAAACCAGGGTTATTCCTGTAAATTTACATCTTAACTTTATATGTAGTAGATGTACACTCATATTCCCTCTCCAGTCTTGAAGCTAAACACTTTCACAAAAGAAACAACCTAAAATCACTTCATGTGAATCTTGGTTCTTACTTTTCTTCTACCTCATTTGTTCTTCCTCTTCATCACCAAAATTCTCTTCCTGCATGATGGTAAAGGAGAGAGATCTAGCAGCCACTTCTACAGCAAGGCCATCAGTGAAGGTAAAATCCAGTGACAGCTGTAGCCATGCCAGCCTCTGCTTAATGGAAGTCTGTAAGGACTCCCTGGGAGATGGAGGGGTAGTGGCCAGAATGCCTCCATCTGCTTGAGATTCATCTTCGCCTTCACGTTGGTAACGCATTCTCTCTTCTGCTCCTTGGAGGAAGACTTCATTTGCAGAATTGTCTTTATTTTTACCCTCTAGAGCAAGCTTGTCCAACCCATGGCCCCAGGCCACATGCAGCCCACGACAGCTTTGAATGCGGCCCAACACAATCATAAACTTTCTTAAAACGTTGTAAGATTTTTGGCTGGGTGCGGTGGCTCATGCCTGTAATCCCAGCACTTTGGGAGGCCGAGGCGGGCGGATCACAAGTTCAGGAGTTTGAGACCAGCCTGACCAACATGGCGAAACCCTGTCTCTACTA